TTTCTAAATGGACTGCAAGACATTATGAGATAAACTTATGTTAGATTGTTAGGGAACATAAACATAAACTGGAAATGTAAACCACTAGGTCTTGAAGACACGGTAAACAGTAGCTTCTCTGTGTACAGGCTGGCAAACCCAGGGATGGTCATGAGAGCACTAGGCATGCCCCAGCCTACAGGCTTTTGATGTTTTTATTTCTCGTGTGTGGATTACTCAGGGTACCACTCACATTCTTTGAATCCCTATACTATATTGTATTGTCTACAAGGCATTCACTGTCTGCCCTACCCTGAGCTATGCACAGCTTGTCCTCACCCTGCTTAGCTTCACACTTTATCATTCACTTACTACTGATGACGCGACAGGTCATTTGTTTTATTGCTTTATGTGTTACTTGTCTCCCCCTCTCACACACACACACACACACACACACACACACACACACACACACACACACACCAACATATAAGCTCCATGAAAACAGAGATGTCCTTTAAAGTTCTGGAGCTTTCTTCACACCAAGTAATTATTGTAAGCAGTCACTCTATCATTTAGCAACAGCCCCAGAGACAAGGATTTTCATTTGTCTTGTCTAGTAGTGCATCCCTGATCCCTTGAGCAGTTCCTGCTGATGGCAGTTGTCCAGTAAATATAGCCAGGAGGAATAAAATAATAAACAGCACTGGGTTTCCCCAGCATAGCATAAAGATTGTCTCAGGCATCATTGAATTGTTTATGCACTGTCTAAATACCTCCATTTTCCTAGCGTTCTGCTTGTCTGTTTTTTATGCCTCTAGTTGAAGCAACCTCCCTTTGCCCTCTTTCTTCTGAAGAAATCTACTAGTCATCTTTGGCTCCTAGAAAAAAAATGGAGCACTTTGGTTTCATTTTCCTCAGTCTCCTTAGCTCCATCCCAGGAGCAGCCCAGGAGGGTACCCATTCCACCAGGCTACCCTCTTGCTCTTTGCAGTATACTTTCTATGAACTCTCATCTAGCCTTGGCTCGTCGCTCAACTCTGGTTGACCATGAACCCCTGGCTACACATTAAAAGATGCATATGAAAAGGTGGTAAGTAGGAGGCATGTACAGCTTCCTCATTGTCTACATACTATGAAGGAAGAGAAGTAAGGAACTCTGACTACTCTTATTCATTAAAGGACACTTCAGAAATGAAAGATGGCCTCTTGAACAGACTGAATCACAAATGTTCATTTCCGTCCCAATGCCTTCCCTTGATATAATATGGTACGTGAATATCAGAACATATACACACACACACGTGCACATGCACACCCATGCATACACATGCACCCACATGCATACAATGCATGCATGCTTGCTCACTGAAATGTCACTTGCAGCTGTGTTCTCTGATCCTGTTTGGATTCATCACCAAATACATTCTTTCTACATAACTACAGGATCTGCCTGACTTTGGAACCCAGCAGGTCTGACAATACCCAATTCATAATTCAAAGCTTCCAGATGCACTGTCATTTGCTGCCCATTGGCCAAGTATTCTATCTCGTCCAGGATCCAATAACATGCCAAGAGCTATTCCTCAAAGGGCATACGTGTTATACTGCAGGTGACACAATTCAGCTCCAGATCCCCAGGGACCCTGTGGTGATTTTACCACTGAAGCTTGTGCAAGTAAAAGTCATCCCACGCTTTCTCCTCCTCTTAATAGTTATCCCCTGACCCCCCTCATTTTAGTTTTTACCTCCAGACTCTATTTATAATATTAGATACATGATATTATAACATAATACTAGGCTTGCTTTGCAGAATTTCCACAAAGTACCACAAACTAGATGACTTCATCCACAGAAATGTACTACTATCCCACAGCCTTGGGATCTGGAAATCTGTGATCCAAGTGTGGGCAGACTTGGTCCTTGCCGAGAGTTGCCTAGGAAAATCTAACCCCAGACATCTCTCCTCAGTTCTGACAGGCTGCCAGCAGACTTTGCATTCACTGCCTTCTAACTGGTCACTGCAGTCTCTCCGTCTATTTTTGTGTCTGTATCCAAAGCTCCCCCTTTTCATAGGATACATGTGACACTGGGGTCCTGCTCTCATCTCAACTGGTTACATCCGCAATGATCTTACTTCCAAATAAAGTCACATCTTGAAGCAGTAGGGCTGAGAACATCATCACAGGAGTTTGAGAAAACAAACATCTTAGTTTGGGGCATCTTGGAGATCCTTGAATTTCTGTATCATTTTCCTGGATTAGGTGCAGCTGTTGTCTAGGTTTACCTGTCTCCCGTTGCTCTTTGAAGTGGAGGTGCTAGGTTGGAATGATTAGCAAGATGCCCAAGAGCACCTCCACTGAACTTTGACCTCATTCAAATAGGCTTTGCTCTAGCCAGACCATCTCCATCTTAGGACAGCATTCTACCCTTAAGGCAGCCACCACTTTGGTCATCAACACAACTATTCTCTATGAAGACCTTTCTTGTAATTTGACAATATTTCAACATATTTTCTAGGCATAAAGTAATTGTTTCTATGTTTAAAAAGTTCATCTATTGAAATCTCATGTGTGGTTAAGAGTTGGGGCCTTTGGAAGGCGGTTAGGCCTAAAGATGGACCCCGTCATAGGATTAGGGCCATAAAAGAAGAAACTTGAAAGGACTCTTTCTCCCTTCTCCCTTCTCTACCATAGAAAGATTAATAGCAAAATACCATTAATCCCTTCAAACAAGGGGGCCAGTCCTCACAGATACAAGATTAAAGACCACCCACACAAATCAACAAGTCAAAATTAATTAAATCAAGCTTTTTAAAAATTCATTTTCATGGATTGTCTCTCCCTAAAGGCAGGGGGTTCAAGAGATAAGCTTCAGACATAAGGACAATAAGAGAATTTTTTTAAGCTCAGGAGAAGGGGCTTTCCAAATAGGGGATTATGGAGACAAGTAGGCAGGGTTACAAAAGTAGAACATAAGCATAATAAGTTGGTCATAACAATCTTTTCAAATAAAGACACTGTTACAAGGGGGTCATACCAAGGAGGTCATACCAAGGTGATCTAAACAAAGTGGTCATAATAACCTTTTGAAAGTTTCCCATTTCCTGGAACAGTATAGAACCTTTTATAGTTAAGGTTACAGGTGGGGCATAGCCCAATCCTTGAGAAATAGATTTAACCATGAATGGGAACAAATCTAGTTTGCTTTTATTGTAAGATGGCTTCCATGCCTAAGATAGAGGCAAGCTAGTTTATCAGTCTGTCACTTTGGTTTTCTAGCATGCAGAACAGTGAGAAATGCCTGTTGACTGAGCCAGTCAGCTATGTCTGACAGTTAATACTGATTAGTAGTGACTTACCAGGATCTAGGGATGCTTCTAGAAACTCGTGGGAGTCTCTAAACTGGGTCAAAAGAAGTAGGAAGTCTGGCCATAAATGTGGGCAGCACTATCCCAAGCTGGGGTGCCAGAGCGAATATGAGGGAGAAAGGATCTGAGCAAACATCTCTCTGTTTCCTGACTGCTGATGCCATGTGACCAGCGGTCCTACCCTCTCACATTTAGGACTTTCCTACCAAGATGGACTCCACCCTCAGATTGGGAGCCAGAACAACCCTTCCTGCCTTAAGCGGCTTTAATCATGTATTTATTCCAACAATTGGGAAGGTAACATATACCATGGTAATTTGTTATGGGGTAGTTGACTAAGACACACCACCTCCAAATTCATGACTAAACAAGATCTAAGACAGGCTTACACTCTGTCCTCACATGTTTTATAAAACTGCACAGAGGGCTGGAGAGATGGCTCAGAAGTTAAGAGCCCTGATTGATCTTGCAGAGGTCCTGAGTTCAATTCCCTGCAACCACGTGGTGGCTCACAACCATGTATAATGAGATCTGGTGCCCTCTTCTGGCTGGCAGGCATACATGCAGGTAGGATACTGTGTACATAATAAACAAATATTTTTTAAAAACTGCACAGGTAACTCACTTCCACAATTACAACAGAACTATGAAAGAGCCAACATGTCTTGGGGACCCTACATCCTTTCCTCATTGCCATTCAGCCTTTGGAAATGTGCACTCAAGAGTCTTTCCCATCCCTAAACAGCATTAGAAGCAAGCAGCATGGCCTAATGAGAGCAATCATCTAGGACTCTGTCATTTAATATTTGGGAGGCCATAGGCAATCCACCTCACCTCTCCCACCCCATCTATAAAGTAAACAGAGTAACTAAAGTTCCCTTCAATATTAAGGGCCCGTTGCTCAAACCTGACTGACCATTAACTTGTCGGAACAGAAGCAAGCTATGGCAGTCATAAGGGAAGCTTTCAAACTTCCCTTTTCTTTTGAAAGCAATTATGAGAGATCAGTCAGAAACTCCTTTGGTCTGTGTTTAACATTCAGGATCTCGAGGAGGTTTTGAAATACACTGTTAGTAAAGCATTAGTACATCACTAGCCAGCTCACAATGTGCTAGATCTTATGAGTCTTAAGAGTTTGGATCTGAAATGTCCCACAAAAGCTTCTGTGTTTATGACTTGGTCCTCAGATGATAGAGTTATCAGGAAGTTGTAGAAATTGCTGGAGGTAAAGGCTGGTTAGGAATGTGTTCTCCAATGGTGTGTCTTATCCCCAGGCCTGTCCTCACCCATTTTCTCTGCTTCCTACCAGCATAAACTGAGCAACTGTCCTCCATACATCCTTCCTCTATGATGCGTCTTCCTTGTCACACAGGCCCAAAAGCAACACAACCAGCAAACCATGGACAGAAGCCTCTGAAATTGTGAGACGGAATAAGGCTTTTCTCCTTGCAGTCATTTGTCTCTGTCACTTTGTCACACCAACAGAAAGCTAAAACAAAGATCTTTCACAACTCCAGATTCCTGGGCTCTGTAACATGGCTCTCACTGGAGGCCCATACAGGCTGATAGCAGCTGGGGTCACAGAAGGTAAAATCTCAACTGGATGCAACATCAGAAACACCCACTCATATGAATTGGCAATTGAACCTTGTTTTGTTTACTTTTTATTGCAATGATAAAATATCTGACAAATGCAAATTAATGAAGGAAGGGCTTCTGGTTCATCGTTCAAGGGTAGAAACCATCCTGGTAAGGAAGGCATGGCGGCGGCAGCCTGAAGCAGGTGGTCATGGGGCATCAGCCGCTGAGAAGAGAGCAGTGAACGCTGTGTCTCAGCTCACCTCCTTTCTCTCCAGTCCAGGAACCCAGGTCATGGCAGGGTACTGTCATTTTAAGAGCTGGGCTTCCCATCCCAGTTAACTCTGTCTGAGACTTCTTTACAGATATGCCCAGAAGTTTGTTTTCTGGGTGGTTCTAATTCCCGTGGAGATGAAGATCAGTATTAACCTCGTGAAGCAGAGCCCTCTGAGCTGGGCTGTGAGCTCCTTTGCTCCTTTTATTTCCAAGTGCTTTGGGCTTTTCTAGCAGGGAAGTGGGTCTCAAAAGAACGTTCTTGAAAGAATAGCACTCCAGAGAACAGGAGAAGAGACCACACTCCACAGAAAGTCTAAGAATACCACCTGGGTTACATGCTGAAGATTAGCTGTGTCTTAAAGGACAGTCCAAATCCAAGGACTTGCAAGCATGAGGACCCACAACTGATCCACAGAATTCACACTTGTAATCCTGTACTGGGAGGTACACAGAGGATGCCTGGGGTTCACTGCCAAGCCAGTCTTACCTCTTTGGTGAGCTCCAAGCATCAGTGGAAGAGTATATCTGAAAAACAAGGTAGAAGATATCTGAGGATCTATACTCATGAGTTGACCTCTGCCTTCTACACACATGCACACTCAAACACACATGCCTCTGCAGATCAAACATAAACTCACACACACACACAAACACACAGAGTTGTTCTGGTCACTTGGGCATTTTCAAAATAGAGATGATGGTGAAATCTGCCTGAAGATGAAACTAAACAAAAGAGTGCTGTGAAACTCATGCGGATGCTGGTCTTCCCGCAACCCTGATCTGACCAAGTGTAAGAAGGTGGCCTGCAGTGTCCTCATGCTGTTGGAAGACTCCTACTCTGGGAAACACTTTCACAGAACAAGTATTCTCAATACCACATAGCACATGTGGATACTAACAAAGGTTTTTGCTTTGTATCTGAAATTCACATGCAACTGGGAACTGTGTGTTTTTAACCAACCAGAGTAACAAGCCCATAGGATAAGGGACACTGAGCACCCCCAGGAAGCCTGTTACAGAGGGTAGATGGTGAGCAGTGAGGATGGGGGAATCGTTTCAAAGAATTCAAATTCTTGTTTTGCCTCCTCAGAGGTAACCATGGAGGAAAACTGTGTAGTTAGAATCACTTCTGCAAGAGGGTTGCTCTATGCTTGAGTCTGAAAATCTAACACTGAGTAAAGGAAGAAAATGAGGCAGAAAAAATTCTATTGATACCACATTTTCCTTATACATTCTTTTGTTGTGTATGCCTAGGTTGGTTCTATAATTTAGCTATTGTGAGTTTTTCAACCATAATGAAAAACAAAATTATATCATTTGCAGGAAAATTGATGCAACTGGAGATAATCATACATGAGTACAATTAAGTCTGTCTCAGAAAGACAAATATCACATGTTGTCTCTCTTCTGTGAGTCTCAGATTTTATAGAGATAGACAAAATAAGGTCCATATATATGACACAAAAATTGAAGTAAACTTCTAGGGGACCAAGAAGACAAGAGAGGGGAGGATCAAAAGAGGGAGGAACAGGATATGAGGGGAATATGCCCAAATTAAAAATAAATTTTGAGAAAAGGTAAAATAAATAAAATTGTGGGAACAAGAAAAGACAATGAAGTATAGGGAGAGTGGGTTCACACAGAATCTCCCTTCTTCTGAGACTTCTAGTAGCCTGTTGGTGTATCCTGTACCTGAAATGTCATGTCCCCTGCTTCTTATAGGATGCAGGATGTTGGTCTAAGAGAGAGATGCTCTCGCAGCAACTGAAACCAGGCTGAAAAACAAGGAGGGATGAGGAAAAGGATGCAAAACTCAGCAGGAGACTCATTAAACCAAGAGAGGCATTTTCTGCATTTTATGAGCTCAAAGTCTGGACTAGATCACGAAGTCCAAATGACAGCACATATTTCTGTGGACACTTCTCAGTCAATGGGACCTTAAAAATCTGTCTCTTGAAGTCAGTGAGGAGATACTCTGCTGCAGCCCCATTGCTTAGCAGGCTGGGCCAGATCAAGGACCAAGAACTCTAGATTTGTACCTCTATCCTGAACACATCTCAAAAATCTCAATCCTAAGAAACCATTTAAGATGGTTCCATCCCCTTCAGGTGACAGGCTGGAAAACTGAGGCACAAAGAAGTTAATGACATTTTGGATACCACACAGCTAATGACTGTGGAAGCTAACTGACCATACGAGTTAGACATGTGCTTTGACCCCTCTGAATATCATCTTTCCCTTTTCAATACAGCACACTTTTAAAAATCAGCATCTGTGTGTTTGTCCTTTTTATCCCCTTCCAAGTAGACATCTACTTCCTCAGGTCCCCAGAAGAGGTCCATCATCTTGACTGAATTCGTATACTACATATCCCGTGTCTTAAGGGCCTCTGTTCTTACTCAGCTCAGGTCTTCACCTAGGGCCCCTTAAACTTAGAAGGGCATCACTACCACTAGCTCTTAGTGCTGGGTGACAGTGAGCAGATGGCCTGATGGAAGGACATGATGGATGCCTGTGGTGGTGTCAGTCCTCCAGGAAAGCTGCAAGACAGCCACTGCTAGATCAAAACTGCAAAAGAAATCACGGTCCTGTGAGCATTCATAGGACAAAAATGAGTGAGACAGAAGTTCAAAGCAATGAAGCAAGCCCAGAACTGATATATTTAGGTAATTTAGTATCCACAAGACCCTCTGCCTGAGAGAATCCATCCATAACCTACCTCCCCCACTCTGTCTCTCTCCTCTCCTATGTATCTTCTCTTATTCCCTATGTATGTATGTGTAGGAAACTCCCAAAACTCCAAAAGCCTTCAGTATATCCAAGTGGATCTAGGAACATCATGTGAGGCTGGGTACTAAGCTCTGAAACATATTATAGAGATTTCTAATATTTGTCTTCCTGACGGGTCATAGATTACTTAATCCTGTTCTCAGGATGGGCTCCTGGGGCTTAGGAAGGATCTGATTATATCCAATGTCAGCAAAGTGGCTCTACCATCCTACAGCTGTGGTGGGAGCAACCCCAGTTTCATCCCATCTCCAGAATCAATTTGTAAGGAGGCCAGTACTGGAATACACTCTCATTATCTAATCATCTTAACTTGCATAATTATTTCCCTCAAAGAACAATTAGCAGACATGCCTCTGGGATTTAGAATATATAGATAGCACTGGCTGATGAACAAAATAAATAAATAACTCTCTATCACAAAAGGGAAAAGAGACTGAGAAACAGAAGAGAGTAAGAGTAAAAAAGAAAGATCTGACCCACTGTGCTCTCCACAGAGACCACAAGGGACTATGGCCAAAAACACATCTGGAGTGGGAAAGCCACACTACTCCAGGACCCAGAAGAGGAGTCCCAGGAGGTGTGAACTGACTTGCTTACAAAGCCCCAGAGTGCATCTGAAGTAGGTGCCAGGCGAGTGGATATGGCAGCCCCGGGAAAAGTTAAAGTTGTAGTCAATGTGCAGAACTGGTGAATGGGCTCTGCCCCACCCTAGGTCATGGACACTTCCACTAGGTGGGGCCTCTGGTTATGTTGAACTAGAAGCACGAAGACACAGGTGCAGGGCCTGGACAAGGCTGTTACATAGGTGAGTCTTACGTTAAAAACAGAAGCCAGTAATATTGAACAAGAAGCACAAAGAACAGCAACTACCTCAGATTCCATTTCCCAGCTGCTCCAAAAATCAGAAGAGTTGGATACAGAAGGAGCAATAATAATAAGAGCAAAAGATTTTCTTCTGAAAAAAATTGAATTTCCATATCTCCTCATCTGCAATAGAAAAAAATATCTATATTCTTCTTGGTGTTTGATCACTCTACACTGAGACCCGGTAATAAATTCTCTTCCCCCAAAATGCACACACTTACATATGTACACATGCTTATACACACACATACACCCTCACACAGCACTTTCTGAACATTTTTAAAACCTTACCCTTTTTTCTACTTTTTAAATTAATGCATATTAATTGCACAAAATAATGGGTTTCATGTGACATTGCCACGTGTGCTTATTACATATTTTGATTAGAATCTTTCTCTTACGAACCTCCACAACCCCCTCCCTCTGTCCTCTCTTCCTTCTCTTTTACCCTCAATTTGAATGACAGCCTTGCAATATGTAGAACAGAACTGAATATGAGAGAAATAATCTGGAAGAAAATGCCAGAGAAGAATAAAACTTCAACAACAAAAGACCCTTTCAAATTCTGTAAGATGAGGAAACATTGCAAACAAGCAACACAGAGTAGGATGCAATTATAGAAAGGGTGGAGAGCACTCATAGAAAAGGATGAGAGCTGAAACTAAGACTTTCATAGCATCACTGAAAGACCAAAATCAAGAGATCTCCCCAAATGAAGACAAAGATGAAAAGTAGGAAATAAATTTACAGGACAAGCCAAGAGGTCCAAGAGTTATCTAGTATATACTGGAGAGGGGGGGAGGATGTAAAGCAGAAAGTAGTCACCCAATACATGCCACAAAAACATTTTCTATGAATTGAAACTGAAACATATGAGTTTCTTGATTGAAATGGCTCAAATTGCCAAACAAAATAAATGAACAGAGACCTCCCATCAAGACTTCTTGTGAAATCTTAAAACCACAGAGCTAAAGATAATCTCTTAAATGCTTCCAGAAAGGAACAAAATAGTCACATCAAAATACAGAAAATCAGAAAAACAATTGACTTCTCAATAACCACATGTGACATCAGCAGACAAAATTCTGAAATAAATTTATTTTCCACTCAGAATTAAATTCCCAACTGAACTGTAATTCCAGTGGGAGAACAGAATAATGCTATTTTTAAGCCTACAAGGCATATTTAGATTCCTGGAATGCTAAGGGCTATGTGGCAGGAGATAAGATGAAGAAAATTACAGAAAAAGAAAAACACAGGTCTCAGGATGCAGGATCACAGATGGGAGGACACTTGGGTAAATCCTAGGAGAAGGAAACATAAAATAAGAACCCTACATATAAGCATTGCAGTGGGCCCAAGAGCAATAGCTTCTGATGGAAACAGAAGTGCTCCTAGCTCTGAGGAAGAGTGGCATAAAATATGTGTGTGAAGAAAGGATATCCTGTTCTGGAGCCCCTCAGCAAACAAAATTCAGACATCATATACATATTCATCTAAACAACAGCTCAAATAAAATCTGTGAAAGAACTTGCATTAGTTAATTTTTTTGGTACTATGACAAAATCCCTGATGACAACAACTTAGGAAAGAAGCTTTCTTTTGGCTCATAGTCTGAGAATACAGTCCATCTGGGCAGAGAAGGCATAGCAACAAAAGCCCAAGACATCTGGCCACATTGTGTTCTCACAGGACGCAGGGAGACATGCGAGGGCTCTAATCACTTCCTTCTTTTTTATCCAGTTTGGAACCTAACCAATGGGATGGTAAACCCACATTCAGAGTGGATATTTTCTATCAATTAAAACTATTTGAGATTTGCTCCTATGTGATTATAAATCTTATGAAGTTGATGATCAAGATTAAGCATCACCAAACTTGGTTTTTTAAAATACAGTCCAGGATGAAAGCCTCCTCCCTGAGAACTACCACCATGCAAACTTTCAAAGAAGGAAAGCAACCAACCAACAGTCCTACACAGCTAAGACATCTATGAATCACACCAAGGCAGTAGTGCTTGATGGTAACCAACAGCTTTCTAATCGAAGACTCACTCAACAAGAGAGAAATCATGCCTGGTACTGGAAACAAGGCCAAATACCCAGGGCTAAAGAAGTCATAGATCTTAGACAAGAACCATAACCACCACAATCCCTAATTCTACTAAACATTTGTTCTCATACCCATAGATAAGTGCAGTCCTCATTCCACATCAAGGAAACTTCTCTTTGCAACAGTGCAAGACAATTATAGAAAATTACAACTAATCAAAATGCAGAGCTGTGGAGTTCAGTCCTAACTAATACATCTAAAATACAACTCCTGCACCTAATACTCAGGGATTATTGCTGAAGAGGAGATAGACTATAAGAGCCTCATATGGGATAATTCTCTTGTTCATTGTAAAGATTTGTCACTTGTATCGGTTTAATAAAATGCTGATTGGCCAGTAGCAATGCAGGAAGTAGAGGCAGGGCTACCAGACTAGTCTCTGTGTTTATTTGGGACTGAATGTCTGCAGGACAGGGAGAGACAGAAACTTCCATCTACAAGAGACAGAGAATCTGGGAGTGTGGCATAATTTGCACCAATAAAGTCTCACCAACATAACTCCCTAAACATAAACTAAACAGTGATGACCCCAGTGGGCACACTAATCTCTATAGTGGAAAGTTCAGGAGGTCTCTTCCCTACACAAAGAACTACAGGGAATAAAGGAATGCCGAGAGTGGGAGAAACAGTCTTCCCCAGGAAAGAGCACACCAAATGGTTATCCAATAGCAAATGGTCAGCTCGGAAAGCACGTGCACATAAGTATCATCATATACATTGAGCAGGTTGTATTTGTAAATTTATAAATATGCACACACATATAAAATTTAAAAGAGGCAATAAGAGCATGGGAGGTTTGGGAGGGAGGGGATAAGTGATATAATTGTATTATAATCTCAAAAAAGAGAAGAAAAATATGAGCCCAAGGAGCTTCAGAGTGACCCCCACGGTGAGAACATGTACTGTATATCACAACAGAAGTCCAAACACAACTCCCTTTAGAGCCCTGGGCAGACAAGCATCCTATCGAGCTAGCTTTCCTGGAACATCAATAGAGAACAAAGTAGGATT